TCAATCATTTTTTCTATGATATTTGTTCAACATCATATACTTGATCTCAGGAACTAACTCCAAATACGAAGGTATACAAAGACTGTATAAAAACAAAGATGTATCCAATATAAAGGGACACAGACTTGCTTGTATATTTTTTTTAATCCTTATGAATTGCTGCATAGAAAGTCTAAAGCTGGCTCAAAATAGCTAAAGAAGAGACATACAGATGGCCAGAGCAGACAGAACTCATCACTTCTGACACCTTTTGACACCAGGACTTGTTATTTTAGGCCATTTGATAATTGATCTAATTAGTACTTCAAATACAAAGTCGTGGTTAAATTCAAGGTTAATTATTATTTTTTAAAATCTACTGTTTTAGAGTTACTAAATAATAACATTTCAACTTTTCCATTCTGGAAAAAACACAACAGAATGATCAAGCAATGATAAACATCAGTAATAGGTAAGCTTTAAAGAAGGAGAGGAAGGAATGCTCCTCTCCACTTCTAACCAGAACAAACCTTCGTTTGCATTGGAAAGAATAGCAGAAAAGTGGACTAAGACAACAGATTGTTGAGACAAAAAATTAAGTGAACGTCTTGCACATGCAAACTACAAAGCAATATTAGGTGCAGGTTAACGAGACATTCAAAATAAGAGAAGCTTATGGCAGAGATGTTTAATGTGCTGCAACATATTTTTCTTATGGCACACAGAGAAAATATCAATGATAATTCTGAGGAAACTTCTAAGTCCACGATACCCCACATCCTTGTACCTGCATGTCCAGACCTTTACTTGAGTGACCAGCCATTCTCTTTAATTTTTCACTGGATAGCCCAAAAGGTTTTAAAATGATAGATTGAATCCAGGAAGGAACCAAGGTATTATAAATACCTCTCTCCAACTTCTTCCATGGCTTATTTCTATAAAAATTAAATTTTATAGACTTAACTTTATATACTGTAGTCAGTCATCATTCTAATTTGTTTTCAAACTTCGGACAAAAGGAGACAAAAGATATTTATCACAGTAAATCTATTTAGTGATGAATTAAACTTTAATTTAAGAGTGAAAACCCAAATTAAAAAAAAAGACAGTAAAATCAAAATTATAAACACAGAATTATAAAACAACTGTTTATTCTGTTGGAATCTGATTTTTAATTTTTTTTTTTTTTTTTAAATCACAGGCTTTAGATGGTATTTCTGTAGACGCGTGAATAACCATACAGAAACTCCTACTGTTGTCCCAACTCAAGACAAAATGTCTTGGGCCTTCATGAAGCGTAACATGGACTATAGCAGTACATTCTCTTTGAAAATCTTCAGAACAGAAAAGGGATCAACAAACTAGGAGACATTTTACCAATTAAAACAAAAATGCTTGCCTCAGCAACAACAAAATAACAAAGCCCAAATCCTTTATCCATAATTCTTTACAAAACCTATCCAAGATTTTGTTTTAGATTTAAAGGCCATTGTATACAAAAATACTTCATCCTAAGCTATGGAAAAGAACATATTATTTTATATATTCTTCTTTTTTCTCTTTAGAACTACACAAACAAGGAAATATCACCACCACAAATTCATAGTTGGGTTAATTTTGTCTTCAATGAAGATAGCTAACTTCTAGCAGATATGTTAAGGATTGCCTATATTTTTCATCCACATAATTGGGAATAAGTGCTTTGCAAAGTGAAACTCATACACAAGCACAGTAAGAAGTAGCTGAAATTAGTGACTAAAAACAAACTGCCCCAACAGGCAGCTGAGTGATGCTAAATCAGTGACTTAAAGGAAACAACTGTTTTACTTTGGGAGAAGTCTAAACAACGCCACTTATCTAAAAGTTAAAATCTTTATCTATTCAACAGTGGTAATACAACTACTTATCAAAAGAATATGCCTTTCTTCGTGTGCAAACACCTCTTCTAAGAGAATGAGCATATGCCAGACTAACACTTAAAGCTTCTACAACAGAAGATGAAATAATAGAGAGAATATGAAAATTATCCTAAATTAAGTAAACCATACCTGAAAAAAAAATAGATTAAAAAAACAACAGCAAACAAATCTCAACTCCCACCAACTCATCACAGATTTTCTCAACATGAAATCTTTGTATGATTGTTTGCAAATACTTCATTCTACCATAGGTAAGATAAAGGAAAAAAAGTTCACTTGTGGAAGTTAGGATTCTACAGTTCACTTCCATCTGAATGGTCACAGATATACTAGGTTAATTTTTTTCCCCTATTTTCCTATTTTTTAGTAATCCAAGGACTAGAACAATATATTGATGACCTTCTGTATCTGCAGTTCTGAAATTCTACTAACTACTGTATTCAGACTAGAATTTCTCAAGAGATTGTTATTTATTAAAAATAAGTGAGCAATAAAAATTGTCTACAAGAGTTCAGACAGGCCCTGGTGATCCTTATACATGTTTTTTTGTTTTGTTTTGTTTTGCAATACTACTAAAGCCACTGTTTCTCTACAGAGATCAAAAGTGAGTACAGAGGTATAACATTCCTCCTGATTATTTGAACTTTGAAATACTATCCCGTCTTTCCTAGTTAAGAGGAACTTGCAAGGTGCATGGTTGTAAACTAGTTTCAGTATTTTTTTCCACATAATGCTTGTAGGTTCCTTGACACAAAGAAATCATAGGCATTTCAGTTTTGGGTATTAAAAAAAATAAAATAAAATACAAAACTAACTCAATAAACATTTGAGTTTGTTTGGCTGGGGAGGTTTGAGGTAGGCTTTTTTTTTCCCTCCTCTCTAACCTTTGGAGTGGGCTGGGGGAGGGAAGAGTAGACTTCCTACACACAGCTTTCAAAATCGCACAAATCCCTTAAACAGAACTTAATCATTAAAGCTCCTCCTTAAAAAAGCAAACAAAAAAAACCCCACAACCCTAATACAACAAATAAAATTGTAAACGTTAATCCTACTCAGGTGTGCACAAATCATATAGAAAATGTATTCAGTATTTTAGTATTCAGCTACTAAACCAATCTTTGAAACACAAATTGCAAATTAAATCTTTAAATTTATACTGAAATCTGAAGGAAATGGAAATATTAAATCACTGCAGATGCAAAGACCTTAGTATGCAGTAGTCTGGTAATAGCTAAAGAACAGAGAATAAAAAATAAGAATTCCTAACTTAAAAGAGATTGTTGTTTTGTTTAAGTCAATTTTAGCACAGAAATCATTTGTTGTGGTAGCCTGACACAGACAAAAATCCATGAAAGTCACAAGTCTTCAAACACAGTATATGTACTAACAAAAGCCTCACAAATAAAATAAAGGAGCACTCATTATAAAGAAAGTTACCCTGATGCATTTGAACAGAAGCAGTTGAATATGTTTTTCTTTACTAACTTTGATTACTTAATTCCTCAAGAGGGCATCTAGTCTTTCAGATTTTGTATCAATTAAAAAAACAAAGGTATTCTACATAAATAATAGTGCTGTTCATTTTTAGTACATTTTTAAATACTAACAAACACAGTAACTTACTGGGATCTTCAACTAACATTATGTTTTTCTAGTAGCTGATAAAATTATAAACAAATGTTTATGTCAACGTTCTGTAACATTTTAGAAATTACGAATTCCTTTGTACTGCTGAAAATACTCTTAAATTTAAATGAGATGAAATCTTACTTCTAAGCAAGAGTTCAAAAATAATGAAAATCAAATTTTGATCCGTGTGACCTTCTAGTGTCACATTTTAAGTATAAAGTTTAAATACATGATAAGGTAAGCTTGTAATAGAAACACTATCACGTATTGGCAGAATTCCCAGCTATATCACGTTGCGTAAAACAGATGTAACAAAGCAGAAGCACAGTTCTGGTAGCCTGAACAAAACTAATATGACTCACAAGAAATTAACATCCACCTTCCATAAATAATGAAGATTAGGATTACTTTATGTAAAATGTTATTTTATCTTCTTCTTATAATTAATAGCCAATTTGTATCTCTGAAGCGATTCACAACACCGCTCACATTCACAGCACTGCAAACAAGTTCAGTGACTTTTATTGCCCAAGTTCTTCAACTGTAATGAGATTAAACAGACATAATAAGCCCCTGAAAGACTTGCTTATTTCTCCAAACACAAATGAGGAAAAATAAACTGACAAGAAACTGGTTATTATGGAGTGCCAACTTCTAACTAGATGAGATAACATCCTAATACACTACTGATAACTTTGACCAGTTTGAGACATTTCAGATTGCATACTGCTCAAGCTATTATCAACTATGCTAGGGTTTGTTTTCTTCTTTTTACTTGTTTCTGTGATCAGAATAGGTTTACACTTGAAAGCAACCAATTAAAGAAAAATAAACTTTCTAAAATCACTTATATAAGAAGTACTTATCCCATGCTTGATTGTGAAGTGAAGATGGTGATAGTAGAAAAGAGGTAAAAGGGCACTATCACAAAACATGCCTGTCAGTTAGAACTTATTTAAGATAATCAGTGATCAGAAAGATACATTCCTTAAAACTAGTGCTTAAGACTAGAGTTTTAAGTCATGTAGGATACTGAAAGTGAAAATAAAACAGACTCCTGGAGAACTCAAAACAGTGGTAAAACAGTACAAAAATATGCTAAACAGGTGCTCACAGTCACATACAAAGGCTTGTTATCACTCATTTTAAAATGGACTTGGCTTATCGGGTCTACAAGAACAGTGTTCTAACTCTTGAAGCATCTTAAGTCCTCTCCCCAGTTAATTTATTAACAAACAGAATGATCTTGTAACAGTGGATACAGCAGCATCAACCACTTAACTTCGAAACTGTCCTGCAAGTAAGTACATGATTTACACTAACAGTGATAAATAAGGAGAATACGTACTCCCTCAACTTGCATGAGGAAAAAAAACCACACAAATCTATTAAAATTATTCAATTAGGAAAAAACAACAAACATGAACATGACATATAAATTATATTGATTATTCCTCTCGATTTTGTACTTGCCTAGCAATACTTTAGCATCCTCCACATCAAAATCTCCATCTCCATCAGCATCGTATATTCCAAGTTTGCCTAAAAATATGAAGAGAAGAACAAGACAGTATTAGGAATTCTGCAACTTGTTTCTGCAACAGTGTTTTCAATGCATGATGGTTAACTGACAATGCTAGGCTGTTACTGTATTGATTATTTAATGCTACTTTTTTTTAACCACCTTTTATTTTATATTGCAAATATTTTAAGCTCCTGTCTTCATTTCGTAGACTTTAGATTGAATGCAGGTTAGTTCTTTTCCCCACATATCTACTTTAGTGCTCATAGACTTAAAACAAGCATATCATAGAATGGTTTAGGTTGAAAGGACCTTAAAGGTCATCTAGTTCCAACCTCACCTACCACTACAGATTCACGCTGCCCAGAGCCCCATCCGTCTGGACTTGAACATGTCCAGAGACTGGGCATCCACAAATTCTCTGGGCATCTGTTCCAGTGCACCACTACCTTCATTGTAAAGAATTTCTTCCTTATACCTAATCTAAATCTCCCCTCTTTTAGTTTAAAGCCATTACTCCTTGTCACATCATTACACTGGTCAATAAAAAGTGCCTCTTCAACTTCCCTGTTCATCCCGTTTAGATATTGGAATACTGAATGGAATGTGGTGATGAAGCATTTTCTCACAACAAGTTTTGTTCAGAATAAAATTTAACTTCACAAGAAATGCTCAACATTTTAAAGATGGAAAACAAATATTAAAGCAAAAAATAATAAAATAATTAACAATTTGTTTTCAAATCGTAAGTCATTTTACATTCTCAGAATATAGATATGTAGGTAATTTCATCTTCAGTGCTAAGTTAATAGAATAAAAGCAGCCTACTTCCTAAACAAAGGAATAAACATTCATAGTTTTACGAACAACTATATAGCATCCAGGGTAAACAAAACTTTGTCTACCCTTTTGTAAGCGACATCAGACATCTCACTTTTAGTTTTCTAAGAACTCTGTCAGCATGAAATATAAGCAAAAGGAATATCTGGTTTCTATTTAAAAAAAAAAACAAACAGTTTTTAGCATAGAAATACAGTGTCCAGGATTAGAAATGCCCCGAGATATTCAGGTAAATAGAGGATTTTCTAATTAATTTTCATAAATTCAAGCCGAACTTTTAATCAGATAGAAACTCCACACACTGACTGCAGAAGGACTTTAACTCCTTGTGGTTTGTCAGTTAGTTATTAAATTTTTTCCTCTCTAAATGGGGGCAGAACTTGATTGCTAGCAAAATGAATGAAATATAGTTCATCTATGATACTGAAAAATTTAATGAAGTTCAGCTTTAGGTCTGGAATAGACAGAAGGTCATCATCACAGCACTGCATCTATCAGTTAGAAAGGATCTTAATTTATTTTTGGTTAAATACAATAGACTAGTGGAATAAATATGATGTTCCAAAAATAAGAATAATATCAAATTCAAAAACAGGTGGAATGAAAAAGATGAGAAATGACTGTTTTGTGTCATTACAGAAGAACAGTAACATATTAAAAGTTAAAGACAAAAATAAAGTTTCTAGCCAAGGGACAGTAAAACAACCTTACTTCTCTAGTATCCTACCTTGTAGTACCTCTGACAAGTTATAACGGAAATCCTTTGCTTTGGCTGCATGCATGGTAAAAATACAGAAACCATTATTTGCATCACTAGACCTAATTAGGTTTCAAGCCAGAAACTTCTCTTTACATATTTCTACATTAAAAAAAAAAAAATTAAAAATTCTAAGAAGTGATTGTAAAGTTTTCAAAACCAGCAGCTGTAAAACTGCATATTGAAGCCTATAACAGAAAGAATAATTCTACCTACATACATACATCCTGAAATTTGAGCCCTCAAATTTTCATCCTTAGATATTACATTAACAATACTGTCTTAACGCTTTCATACTGAGACAATTAACATCACTGTAGACTTAAAACTGAGGTCATAAAAATATTATTCATGAGACGAGAATTGTTTGTTCTGGTACTACTACTAACACAGTCCACCAAAGAACCAGTAATAAGATTAGCCACCTACTTCCAACAAATCACTTCTTCAAGTTTCTGAGAAAAACTGAAAACTCAACCAACAAATCTTAAACTGAAATTTCTAATGAGCTACTGTATACATGTTATCAAACCTTGGAGATTTCTTCAATTTTTAAATGCATACAGTACTTCAATAACCTTTTTCAGTTTTCTAAATTCTCATTTTAGCATCAGAATTGAGCTCAGCATTAAAATGTATTTTTTGAACTACACTGCATATTTTTACGTAGGACTCCAATTGTCAATTCAGCTAACTAGCCATGCACTGCTTTGTTTCACCTATACTGAAGTTTAATATTTTGGTTTCCTTTCTGAAAGGTAAAATTGTACCCATACTACTAAAGTAAGTCATAGTCAATATTAGAAGGGTTTTATTACACTATATTAAGATTTAAAATTCTTACCTAGGACTTCTTCATAATCTACGAGTTCAAACCAGACAACTGCTACTGACGTCCAAACTCCCAGCAAAGCAATTACCATAAACCAGGTGAAAAATGAGCTTCCAGAGAGGCCTTCTTTCTTTCCATTCTTGTTTCCTCCATGCTTACTCTCTGTTAAAATAAGGCACACAAATAGAAAAAAATGGATTTATGCTAAAAAATTATGATTGAGCATATAATTATACATTTTGTGGGTTTCTTCTAAATTGGAGTTTTCATATCACTATGAGTTACAACGGACATCTCAATCATCATCTGTGTGGTAAAGGCCAAACAAATCAAATACCAATCCATTCACCCCCCCCCCCCCCCCAAAAAAAAAAAAATATCTATAATAATAATAAAGCAACCACATGTAATACGCTTCAACAATTTAGATGGAAATCCCTCCTTTTTCTTCTTTGGTATGTATTTGCACAGAGCTTAACATTTTTGAGATGTTTGTCATTTGTGCCGTTACTCCTCAAGCTGCCACCAGAGGGCAATCCCACCAGCAGAAACACTTGAAGAAAAGCATTTCTTCTGAAGCAGTGAAAGCATTCAAAGCTAGTTGGTACTGCAAAGTTAAGTTACCTTATGAAATCAACATGGCAATTCAAATAGCCTACGGAGCAGCAAAAATCTCAACCTCATCATGTGTATAATTTGAAGTTCGGTCACTGTACTAACTGACAACTCCTTCTGTTTCTTAGAACTGTGCAGAGGTTCACGTAAAACATAAACATTGCTTTGTCCAGTTTCAGATCGTTTTAGGTAAAGATGTAGTAAACGTGCACCTAAAAAGGTCGTCTACAGCTTTTCACCAAAGCTCAAGGTCGGTTCCTCTGCTTCCTTAAATGTGGAGGTTGGTGGCCCTGCATGTGGCAGGGGGGTTGGAGATTCATGATCCTTGAGGTCCCTTCCAACCCTGGCCATTCTGTGATTCTGATATTTACCAGTGCAAGGCTGGCAGTTTCAGACTGACCAGCCCCAGTTTTGTTCCCTTCAAGCCCTGCCCTTTGCCCATCCAGCCATACTGTCGTGCTAGTCCAGCAATCCATCCCCAAGTTGCAAATGGTCAGCAGTTAGCATGTACAAGCTCCTTAAAGAAAGCAATGAAATCTCCCAGAATACTGCCAATACTCCACATTAAAAATATTTTTTTCACTCTTCAAATGATGGTGATCAAACAAATGCCCTCAAGTACACATATATGAAAATGTTCATGCTCAACTCTAGTTAACAACTCTAGACAACAACGATAATTCCAGTTTCAAGTACAGAGGCAGGGAATTCGCATTGCAATTAATCCAAAGCTCAAAATTCACTTTCTCTTAATTTTTTCAAGTTATTAAAACTCCATAAGTGAAATTTTACATTCAAGTAGAGTTATTTAAATAATGATCTTTTATTAAAAAAACTCTTAAAAAAACATTCAAATAACAGCCGTGACTGAAGTGAGAAAAAGCTCTGTATTTCCCTTCCTAATCTTCCTCAAATTACAGTATAACTAGAAGCAACTATTTTGATGTAGTCCACATACAGATAAATACAAAAATACCCTGAACACCTGAATATTACCATGATTCCTCATTAGAATAAAAAAGGAGTAGCTTTTTAGAGATGAGTAACGAAAGACTGGTGGCTTATTCCAGCTATCGGTATGATATAGAAGGACTTTCAGAGCCTGCTTTTCATCAGGTTCATAGCTGCAATGAACAAGCTTTTTATTATAGTCATAGTGTTATGTACCATGGTGAAAGCTATAAAAAACAACTGGCTCACTTCGGCGCATACTGAGCAGTACTTAAAGAATATATTTCTTTACTACTACTATTACAAAGATCAAATATGAGATATCTGGCTTACTTTGTACATTATACACATTGTCCTTGGTATAAGCTATCAATAATATTTAGAAACAGACAACTCACACCAGGCACGTTCCACTTCCTAATACATAGTAACCAAATTACACAGGCACAATTTTATGAGCTATATGCATCTCCCTTATGGGAAGATGTATGGATACCTTGATAACGCAGACAGAGGCAAGCAGTATGTGGTAATACACTCAGAAATTTTATCAACTACGTATGAAAATTATCAAAGCCACACTTGAACTGGAAATTTTAACATTCCAAAATAAATTATGTAACTGCAGAATGTGGTTATGCCTTATTTGAGTGCTTTAAAACCTTTAAAAAATGAACCCTTGGGCTAAAAACATTTTAAATTATTCCAGGTTACTGTTTTGTTCTAGAGCAAACCGTGTACTAAAAGAGGAAAACAGAAAAGATTATCATGTTGTATCTCATACTAATTCAATTTACCTTATTGTTTAGTACTTTGTATTTATCTCTAATGAAAATGGTGGTAGTTAATAGAAGAAATGGAAAACAACAGAAAAAAAAAAGTAATAATAAAAAGGTAACTTTCCTTTTTCAATTTAGAAGTCGTTTCATGAAATTTCCTCAAAAACAGATTCTGATATAAAAATATCTTTCACAACAGTGAAAAAACACATTTTTGTGCTCTGGTTTCCCTCCTTCTGGGCACAATATTTCCAAAATCTGCTACAAATTCCACCACAGCAGCTTTATCAGGTAGCTCTGACATACATGGAAGTCAGGCGACATAAAAATTCGTGCATGCTCTCAACAGAACCAAACACACACAGAACAAAAAACTGCAAGCCATTACGGAAGACTGCCTCCAGCTTAGAACACATTCCAGACAGTTAATTCTACATTCAAGTCCTCTCCCTGTGCCCGCTGCCAGCCATGTCCAAAGTAGGTCACCTTCCATATCTGGCAAGCCTTTGCTTACACCACCAGATGGCTTTATGCAGACATCATAAAGTCTTAAATTGTGCTGTATGCCTCAGTGGCAAATTTTTAAAAGTCCTGTATATCACTCATCCAAATTAAGAGTCATGGTTAGATAACACATTAAAAAAAAATTTTAAAAAGCGTTAAAAACATTTGCCTTTTACTTTAGTTAACTTTGAAGGTGCTCAGCAATTTTACATACTTCAAAAATAACTTTCAAGTGAGATATCTGCACACAGAATAACGTCTCTTGTGTTAACAATGTGTGCTTACTCAAAGAGAAATGAAGATACAATGAGGAGTTGGCATAAATCCGTGAGAATTCTCTACTTCGGGAAACACTGAATCAAAACCAGAGGCAGTCAGTAATGCAGACTAACAGTAAACCGACTAGAAAGTACCAACATGCCACAGTAAGCCAATTATTTTGCTGATTACAGAGTCAGTATTTGCAACCAGGCATTTTCAGTTTGCTGACAAAAACAGTTAGGACTGTACCTGTGTCGTCGGCCATAACACTGGTGTTCAATTTCCACCAAGTGAGCGCGTCCTTATCTCCAAAGCTAACACTGAAGGCAGGGTAAGAAGCGATTTACCCTCACTGTAGTCTTGCAACAGGAGCTGATGAGTTTCGTAAAGCTAGCTCAGCTGGAACCCGAAACTGGACCAAAGTGAAAACTCTCCTCCAAAAAATCTATTTTTAGAGTGGTTATCTTCACGAGCCAAATGCTTTTCAGAACTCATATGGCAATCCCATTCTGACGACAATCAAATTCACTTGCGCCTCTTAACAGAGCACCCTGAGTAGCTGATCCTTTCCCCTCCCCTTAATCTCTCAACGTCACACATAGCAAATGAAATCAAGCACGCTGCACTGCATGCTGCTGCCATCCACAGTGCCTCACTGCCTGCGCTCTGAGGGCGTTACATCCACCAGCATAAGCTGGAGCACAAGTCCGGACACACAGCCTGCCTGCTTGCATTTGTCAGGCTGGCCCTCGCCCAAGGAACTTTCTCCACGCTGTCACTCCTCTAGCAGCTTCCCAAACTTCTGTGCAGACTGACTCTTTCCAGTTGGCTTATCACTCAAAAAGACAGCCAATTTCTGAAACGTAACATTGAGCCTAGGAGTCCCTTTGAATTGATTATATGTGTTGTTGCCAAAGAATTTTCAGATCAGAACAGTTCCTCCAGAACACTTCTTATTTGCTTCTAGCAGACTGAATGAAGGGGTTCTGACAATTTTGCCATAGCAAAGCCTGTCTGCTCATAATGCACCACATACCAGACAAGAATTCTACTGCACATTCATAGAATCATAGAATCACAGAATCACTCAGGCTGGAAAAGACATCAAAGATCATCAAGTCCAACCACAACCTAACCGTACTACCCTAGCTAACAACCCTCTGCTACATCACATCCCTGAGCACCACATCCAAACAATTTTTAAACACATCCAGGGATGGTGACTCAGCCACCTCCCAGGGCAGCCTATTCCAGTGCTTAACAACCCTTTCTGTCAAGAAGTGTTTCCTGATATCCAACTAAACTTACCCTGGCACAACTGGAGGCCATTTCCCCTCGTCCTGTCACCTGTCACCAGTGAGAAGAGACCAACCCCACTCTCGCTGTAAGTACCTTTCAGATATTGGAAGAGAGCAATAAGGTCTCCCCTCAGCCTCCTTTTCCCCAGACTAAACAGCCCGGAAAGATTCACTGAAAGCACCAGAGGTGTTGATATTCCTTTCTTCCCCCTTTCTCTTTCAAAACTCATATCACACCTCCTTCAAATTCTGAAAACATGCATGCTACTTTTTCAGCAAGTGACCAGCATAGTGTCCTCCTTCTCAAGGACCAGAAAAAGAAGAAAAAGCAACAACACCATAATACAATTTACATCTGTTTTAGCAAACTGTCCTTTTCCAATTCAAACAAGAGGCAGCTCCCTTTTGGTGGAAGAGGGTGAAATCAACTCCTGTCCAATTGGCAGCAGCCTTGATGAAAGCTTTACTATTTAGCACTTTGTTCTTTCTCTTTCACCCTTCTTTAAAAATACAATAACAATAAAAAAGTGAAGCATTACAGTACAAGGTATTTGGAAAGCCATCATACATCTCCTTTGGTTTTTACAATCCAGTAACTAATCCCCAAACACAATTCCCAATAGCCACAGGCAGAACTCCAATGAGTTTAAGACTTTTCAAAGAGAGGTAAAGAAAGTGCAGGCAGATAATTCTATCAGCAATGTATCTTTCGACTACTTTAAAGCCATGTGAATACATCAAGGAGAACGGATGA